AAGGGGAACATGGACAGCTGTACCAGTTCAGAGTAAATCCTGCACCTTGCTCAGCATCGTGCCTCAGAAAGCTCTAGGCAGGCAGCTGTGCAATTGTAGCTTGTTTTGGGAGCCTTAGGAACCTGATGTGATTTACCCGTTTGGTAGCCCTCTTTCATGGACTTGTCCCACTCATATTTTGACCCCTGTAAATTTTTCCATACCCACAGTACCCTTTGTCAAGGGCATCCACAGGTCTGCTGTGTTCAGCTGCATGAACTGCCTCCCTTGTTATAAATCTGGATCTGACTAGTTTCAGTTGATGGCCCTTGGTATTTAAACTAGAGGAGATGGTCAAGGGTCAAATTCTTGACCATCTTTGCCATGGCATATATATTTGTGAAAAAACCTTTACCAGTTCCCCTTCAAGTCACCTTTGTTTCCCTTCAGTCTCCATTATTTCTGACAGAGAAGCCATTCCCTAGTGTTTATCATCATTGTTGTTCCTCTCTTGACACTTTTTCAGGAGTGCCTGTAAGTTGAACAAACAATAGCAGCAACAACAAAGCCCAGATGTGTGCTGTGTATTTGTGAAAGGGAGAGGGATCTCCTCGGAAATGTTCTCTGCCTGATAAATGTAGTCAAAGGCACAAAGTAATTTTTAAAGGAAATTTAGGATTAATATTGTCAGTTATTGACAAATAGTACTTTAGAGATTCTCAGTGAATGAAAACTTCTGTAAAGCTGCAGGGGTGGAAATATCCCCTCAAACCATATAATCCTTTTGGTGTTCATCACTGTTAGCCCTGGTGCTTATAGAAGATATCTATACCAAGAAGATATGTATATCATGACTTTTTTAGTCACTGCCTAGTGATTAGAGACCCAGGATAATACTCAAAACAACTCAAGTTTCTCCTTCACATTAAACGACTACTGGCAGTGATTATTGATATCAAATATAACTTGGTGCAACTGCTGCAGTGCTTTTGGATGTGGTGCAGACATAACCCATATGGTCTGAGACGGAGAGAATATTTGTGCAAGAGGCTCTTCATCATTCTGTCATGAGTTTTTATTTATTCTTTTGAGCTGTCAATGCTGTGGCAGAGTTTTTGTGTGCTCAGGCATCCTTTTATTACACCTACATGTCCCTTGCAATAAGCCATGAGTCAATGTTCTCAGCTAAAATTTTGCACACATGTTCTTGTGAAAGGGACCTGTAAGTTCACCTCCTTCCCAGAAGGTCAATGTTTGGCCTTTTCTGAAATGGGGCCTCTTCAAAGTGCTTAAATCAGGCACCTGAAATGACCAGTTGTGTGTGGAAAGCCTGAGCTCCGAGCTCTGTGTGGGTCTCCTTGGAAAGGTCAGATCTTCCCAAAATCATGAGATTCCTGTGAGGGTACAGATTTTGCAAACACACCATGTACTCAGAAGCACTGCTGGGGGAGATACCTGGCTGGCAGGGATGCTTGATGCTCCTTTTTTGCTCCTTTCTTTCTTGGAGAGGCATTGAAATCCTGGCTGTGATGTGACAAGGGGGACTCGAATGGCTGTGTGACTCTGACATAGCACTTTTCTCTTGCCTTTCCTGTGCTTTTCAGAGCTGTTTCCCATGACAATTGCAGCGGCCCTGCTGGGAGAGCTGGCATGGGGCAGGTGCAGGGACTGGGCATCTGAGGCTCTTGGGTCCTGCACTGTCCCTTGCTGCTTCAGTGTCAGCACCTGGCTGCACTGCCCCCTCCTGCCCCTGCTCTCATTCCCCGTGCACCTCCAGGCCTTGGGAGATGGGTAAGCTGAGAGCTGCCTGGCTGTTTTTGGCTTGCCCTTGGCTCAAAAGGCTGGAAACAACAGCCCTGATCCAAAGGGATAAGGATCAGGGGATGACTTCCTCCTTATTGCATGAGATTTGCTGTCTTTTGGAAAAAAACAGATGCACAAACCTGCAATTTCTTATTAATTTCAAAGTAGCACTTGGCTCACTACCTCCTCCCTATCAGCCCTTGTGTTGTCACTAAATTATATTGGATTTGCAATTAAAAGCCAGCTGTGCCAGTGCAGTACCAGCCAAATGCCACCATCACTGTCTCCTGGGTGTCCTAGGGAAGGTGTGGAGCACACAGCTCCTCCTGTAGTGAGCTCTTCTCTCACTTCAAGAGGGCATGATAAGAGTTTAAATGGGATCTCAGACACGTTATTTTTGTTAATCAGAGCACTTGCTCACTAAGAAATGAAGTTCTCTTCTTAATACTCGTATCATGGATATAGCAATTCCCAGAGCTTGCAAAATGCCAAACATCATGCAAAAGGTTTGAGCACAGCATGTACTGCTGGATGTCTCCCTCAGGCTGATTGTTTTTCTTCTTTCCTTTCTTGATTAAAATAGTTTTGGAGAAGTACTTCTGCTTCTGGTGTTTGGGATTTTTTTTTTTAAGTGTTGAAAAGCATTTGTGCCCACCCATGTTGGAGCAGGAGTTTACAGCCAGGCACAGGGAACAGCACTGAGGATGTGCTGCTCCTCTGGAGATCCAGCCTGTTTATCCAACTTCTGAGCCTTTGTGTCTCACCTCTGGGACAGCAGCCTGCTGCATGCTGTAGCAAAAGCCTGACTGGTTTGTGTTCTATCCATGCTGGAGCTGGGCAGGACTTCTTCTGTACTGTCTCCTTCTGTCCCTCAGCTTCTTAGGCTCCTGGAGCCTGAATGGAAGCAGGGAATTCTTTGGCTTTTAACTCTCTCACTTTGGACTGCTGGAGGAAGGTGCAGCGATTCAGAGCAAGGGGAGGTAGGAGAGGATGAATGTAGAAAGTGAGTCTCTTCAGAACCTGGAGCAGGACTCCAGGTTAGAGTTACAGTGAAGGTCCTAAAAACTGCTGGGAAGGGAGGGAGGAAGGAAGCCCATGTCCGTGCTGGCTGTGAGGGTGGTGAGATTTGACATCTACTAAAAATCTGTGCTGTGGGTCCCTAGGGTTGTGGTGTTCCAGTGAGCTTTGGAAAGTCAGATACCCATCTCTGATAAAATATTATTTTTTAACTAGATAGCTGGAAAACTCTTATGTAAAAAGTCCAGCGCCGTGTTAAAAGCCTGATAAAGTTGTGCACTTAGCTGAGAAATACCTGATGGAGTGTTGTGTGTGGAACTTTTAATTCCTACCACTGCATATTTGCCTTGTGGTGCAGTTTTAATTGTCATTGCAGGTGGGATATGTGTGTGCTGTAGCAAGGCTATATGTGCATACAGAAATTGCATTATGAGCTGTCTTTAGGTGTGTAATAAAGATCTTGTCCTTCCTGCTGCTCTGAAAACAGTTCACTTCAAAGGCTGTAATATTTGCTTTGTCCTTTGGCCTTTTTGGGGTGAGAGAAGAGGCTGCCTGCACTGTAGATGTGTTGGTTGTCTCTAGCAGTCTCTGTCCCCAGGATGAAGAGATTGGTACAGCAAACAGTAGGGGAGTGCTCACCTCTGTTGTTCCTCTCACTGTTTGCTTCAAACGTGCTAGCTTTCCCCGTCCTCCCCTTAAATCACATTATTTCATAAAGAGTAAAAAGAAACATAATTTGGAGCAGCAGCAAGCTGAGCCCAAGTTAATAGTTTGAATTGCACTCCATCTGTTCAGCTGCATGCCCTGATGGATGTGCTGAACCCATTTTTCACAATTTGTTTTAAGCTGCTAAGAACCATCTCTCCTGGCTCCAGTCCAGGCTGGCTGTGGTGAAAAACTTCATTTCTGGACGTCGATGTTCAGAGGGCAGGATTGAATCAATAAACCCCAGATTCAAGGCTGCCTCTTCACCTACAGGATGCCACTTTTTGAAAGCTTAAATTCTTCTCTGGACTTGAGTGTTGTTATTGAAAATTAGAGAAAGGGCGGGAACCCCCAACACACAGACGCTCAGAGAGGATGAAATTTGCAAACGTGATTATGCAGGACCTGCTTTAAATCGGCTTATTGCTGTTTTATGATGGCAAGCAAGCAGTCACAGAAGCCGGGGTGATTGGCCTTGCCATGTGTGCATGCTGCTGGTAACTCAATAACCGATGAACACCCACCGTGGTCTCCAGACCTCGAGCCTTTGATGTAGCAACAAACAAGATAGATTGCTGTAATTTATCTGGCCCCTGGAGGGCTGTGCTGGTAATGTGCCATGAGCCCAAGGGCCAGCCATCCATAATCTGTGTAAAAATCCGGCGGATCGCGGTCGCCGTGCTGCAGGGCCGGCTTTGTTTGGTGCCTTTGCGTGTGCACAGCGCAGGGCACTGGGCCCTGACTTCAGAGCCAGGGGCACTGAGCTTTACTGGAAAGTGCCCCCTCCTTCCATTATCTTTAATTGGGTTTGTTGTGTGCTAAATGCACACCTTTCAAATTGGCTTGGGAAGGCAGTGCCAGAAACCTGATATTTCTCTGTGGGCCTTTACAAGCGTAAGAGAGAATGGAGAAGGTGTGCTGGGTTTGGTGAAAGAGAAGGGGGTTTTGTAGCAGCTGAAGCTTCTGGCAGGTTTGCTGATGGACGATGAGTGCCTGGGGAAAATAAGAAGGGGGTTTTGTACCAGCTGAAGCCTCTGGCAGGTTTGCTGATGGAGGATGAGTGCCTGGGGCATTGGAGTTGGGTGGCCCAGCAGCCAAAGGAGAGGGAGTGTAACCCCCTGGCCTCTCTCCATGGGGTGATTCGGAAAGTAAAAGTACTGAAAACAATGACATGTCACCTTGAGTTTCTGATTTGTTACTGCATGGTGCGTTGCCCTTTCACACCTGGGTTCTCACCATTTCCAAACAAAAGGGTTGTGTTACCTCAAAGCTGCTTCTTTTGTGGGGTGTTTTTAAAAACACTTCCATTGAGTCAGCAAGAGTTCTGCAGTGTGACTCGGGGTGCTGTGCCAGAGCCTGATGTGCCGGATGTAAACCGGGGTGTGAGGGCTTGCTTTGTCCAGCAGGGCCATGGAAGAAGGGCAGGGATATATCTGGGTGTAGGTGTGGGGATTGCCTGCGCTGGTCAGTAACGCTGGGCTCCTCTCCTCCCACAGGCATGGCACTGGCCCAGCGGCAAGTGACGGTGCAGGAGGGCCCTCTCTACCGCACGGAGGGCTCCCACATCACGCTGTGGTGCAAGGTGAGCGGCTACCAGGGCCCAGCGGAGCAGAACTTCCAGTGGTCCATCTACCTGCCCTCGGCCCCCGAGCGGGAGGTGCAGATCGTCAGCACCGTGGACCCCTCGTTCCCCTACGCCATCTACACGCAGCGCGTGCGCGGCC